GGAGCAAACCAGACAAAATTCTGGTGTTGATCACTTACCTGTAGCAGAGAAGAGAGCCCCAGGGGCAGGGGGAGGGGTTTTCCTGGCCTTCTCATGGCCCAGTTCTCTCTCCTCCTTCGTGGGTCAATACACTCGTGACCTGCTGTGCATTACAAAACCACCTCACCTAGACAGCGCCTAACTCGCAACTCCTGTCTACACCCATCACAGCAGAGGCTCCTGGACACCCACGACCACAGTGTCTGTCTAGTGTGCCTTGCTACGGCAGTTGCTAAGCTTTCTTAACTCTCTTCGGACTAGTGGATCATTCATCAGCCGTCACCGCTGCTTAAGAGGAGACGCAGGTTCCTGTAACCCCGATGTAAAGAATCCATCTCCTCTTGCTAATGCAGGCACGGAGTGGGGTTTTTTTTTGGTCTGGCTCTGCATGTCGTCGCCAGTCTGTGGACTACTCACGAGCTGGTTGTAAAAACCGACTTTCCAAGGGCCAGCCGAGCCAGGTTACGAAATCGCCTTTCTGGGAGAGGCGGTAGCATGAAATGTTGTTTGGTCTGGAGTACCCAGGGCCTCTCGGATCTCCTCCCCCCTTTTTTTAAATAAGCGAAGGGTGTTTGTGTCACCTTAAATAGGAATCACTAGGGGGCAGTCTCTGCTGTCATTACAGACAGACTTCTTTTACAGACGTGGTTGTGAGCCTGATTGCTTTGGCTTTCCACAGCAGAAATAGCCTCCCACCCCGATCCCCAGTTCCCCCGCAGGTTTAACGTCAAGCTGACGCATCTTCGGAGTCTCCGCCATGTTTTGCAAGACTTGGAAGATCCCCAGGTTGTTTCGGGTGGCACCCTGGGCATGTGACACCAAAGGACGGGAACGGTTATTCCTTATCAGGGTCCGTTGCCATTCATTTAGTCCCCTGACCTGCGGGGTTATAATGCTTTCTACATACACAAAAAGTATTCCCCCATGGTAAAAATATTCTTTATCGAGAACAACCGCAAAAATACATGTTCAAGCAGGCATCCCGAGGCAGTGTGTTGTAGTGGTTAGAGCAAGGGCTCAATTTATTCAGACCTTTTTTCCTTTCTTCCTATGTGAGCCTGAGTACGTCACGTCTCTGTGCCTGTTACCCTCATCCCCGTTTCACAGCTGGGGAAATTGCCTAGCACACAGCGGGGTTGGGCAGCTTAGTTCATGGTTGCAGAGCCTGCCGAGATCCTCTGATGAACGGTGCTAGCGGTGCAAGGCTTTATTAATAAGTTCCAACGAAAGGTGACAATGTAGTATTGCCTCTGTCCAGTGTCAGCACGCGCCGTGCGCTGTCTGGCTGAGGGCAAGGAAGGGTGAGGGTTACCCTCATGTTGCAGAGCAGTGAGCTGAGGAACAGGGAGGCCGGGCCTTGCCCGTGGCCACCAAGCAAGTCTGTGGCTGAGTCCGGAATGGAACTCGGATCACGCGATTCCTGGGGCCCTGCTCGCACCAACAGTTGACACACCCTGCTTGTGAGCAAACGACTGACCCTGGCTGTTCTGCTCTGGTGACAGTCAGTGGCACGGCCGTGCCTGGACGTCCCGACAGAGCCCTGCCACGCTGAGAACCGTTCCTGCCCAGAAGAGTTCACTCTCTCTGTATGGGCAGGAGAACAGGAGGGTTCTTCTCTCCAGTGTACAGCTGGGGAAGTGGGGCCTGGGGAGGCGAAGTGACTTGGCCAAGGCCCCACAGTCAGTGGCAGAGCTAAGAACTTGAGCCCAGATTTCCCGAGTCCCAGGCCGGTGCCATAACCCCAGTCCCACCCTCCTCTCCGCTGCCGCAGTCTGTCCCGCGGTCACAGTGTGCTGACGTGCTGTTTGGTTACAGGGAGAGCGCCACTCTGCCGTCCCCAGCTGGAAACACCGGCCTCGCGGGCGCAGACTGCCATGAACTGCCGTGCCGAGGTGCTGGAGGTCTCGGTGGAAGGCCGCCAGATCGAGGAGGCCATGCTTGCCGTGCTCCACACCATCCTCCTCCACCGCAGCACCGGCAAGTTCCACTACAAGAAGGAGGGGACCTACTCCATCGGGACCGTGGGGACGCAGGACGTCGACTGCGACTTCATTGACTTCACCTACGCCAGGGTCTCCTCTGAGGAGCTGGACCGAGCGCTGAGAAAGGCCGTCGGGGAATTCAAGGTAAAGAGCTTGGAGCCAGTCACCTTGGCTGAGTTCTCAGAGGCTGTGCAGACCAGAAATCCCAACAGGGGTTGGTGGAGCTGCAAGCCCTTAGCCCTGCTATGAATCGGGCCCAAGGCATTGAAAGGAAGGTACTCCTTAACCTCCCAGGGTGCGTCTTCGCTCCACGGTTAACCTAGGCTCTCCCCCGGGTCTTAACCCAGTCGTCTGCCATCCACCCAGAAGAGCCTCTGCCCCAGGTCTGGAGATGTCCCAGCTGGGAGGGTGGGTTAGAGCCCTGGCTGGGACCTGCTCACTCTGCAGTAAGGACGCAGGCTGAATAGTTCGAGTGCTGATAATCCTCCAGCGCCCTTCCCACAGTTCCACCCCAAAGGACAGACAAGGTCGCCCTCACTTGGACTGGGAAGGAATCCTAGAGTCTCAGCACAGGGAATCCTGGGATACGTCCCAGGCCCCCCCAGGGCGAGCGCAGAACCAGTGAGGACACAAACGCAAAAAGGGATTGCGGGGGGACGCTCGCTCCTCGGCTAGGCTAACCCGGTGCCCACACTCAGGTGCTGATCACTCAGGTTAACTCTGTAATGAAGACACGTCCTCAGTGCATTGCATTCTTCCTCTGTAAATCAGCTAACCCCAGCAATGGGTGGGTGGGTGGGAGTGTGTGTGTGACGGGTGTAGTGAGGCGAAGTGCTTGGAAATTCTCTGGGGAAAAGACACTAAGTGCAAAGTCATCTGGGGTAGGAAAATACTCCATTGCAAAGGGCTGGGAGTGAACCCAGCATCCTGCACTTTGGGGCTATGCAGCCTTCTTCATCGAGAGCATCGTGGGAGTCATCACCGAGCGAAAAGGAGAATTTTGTAGCTCTATATAAAGAGGGGCAGTGGCTCTGTGGATGGATGAGGTCTGGATACATTGACTCCCGCAGGCCATAGAGAGTTCATGGCAGGAGACATGAAGCCCCGGCAGTTCAGCATCCTGTGGTCCTAGTACCCTTTGGAGAGGCACATCTCTGCATGGTGCTCCGGCTCGCTCTCTGTGGCGCCTTGCCCGACACACACTGTGCTTATTGCTCAAAGCTCGCCGTGTGTAATGCAGCGGGGCCTAGATACTGTCCATCTTGTAATGCCCATTCAATGCGATTTCTGCCCCAGCTAATTTAGAGGCTATATTGGGGATGGTCAGATTGTGACAGGGTTGCTGTGGAATTAAATCCAAGACATATGTTGCAGTGAATTTTAACTAGGGAGATTTAGGGAACAAATCATCCCTTGAGTTTTCTGCATTATGAACCACGGTGTCCTAAATCCTGCTGAAAAGGTCATGGGAAGCAGTAATATCTGGGTTGTGGAGAGATTGGATCTCATCTCAAACCATCACTGTTCAAATACTTCATCATCTGTAGAGGGTCCGGTTTGGGAGCCCCATCCCGGATTTCCAGCCCTAGGAATTTACAATCCTCCTTAATAGTCAAGGAAAGCGATGAAGGTTGCAAAGCACAAAATTTAAACTTCCCTTTACGTTTTCTGCTCCGGGGCTGCCCCGGCTTAGCAGTGCTGGAGTCATTGCCACAGGCAGCTGGGACAAGCTGGGGGTTTGGGAATTCGCAGACAAGGAGCTGTGTTCCTTTTCCCAGGCGTGTCTAGTCCACGTGAGCAACTGCGCCTCTCAACCCCCCTGTAAAAGTTTCCACATTTCGTTTCTTGTGCTTTGGTTGATTGGCCCTGTTTTTATGATGGACGCGCCACCAGCAGCCATTTGTTTCCAGTGCTTTGCTAGCCCTCATTTGCAGTGATGAGGTCAGTCGTCAGCTTTGCAGTTCGATTCAATGTTTTAAAAAGCCACGTTAGCGCTGGACGAGGCTGCTAACGGCGAGACTGCTCAGTGTAACGAATTGATCTGGCTGGGCTTCCGAGAGAGAGCTCAAACTGCTGAAAATGAACAGTGTCTCCAGGCCCTGAAGAGCAGAGCTCCAGTAAATGGAAACGGCTTCTGGACAGCAGCAGTTTCACGCGCTGAGCTCTGTTCTGCCGGGCCAAGGAGTGCAGGGCGCGTGGCTCAGGCCCTCAGCTCTGAACATTGGACTAAGACAAAGAAGATGTTTGGCTCATGTCTGTGATCTGGGAGCGTGTTACGTGGTTTAATGGACCCTCACGGAAGGTTAGTTACTCTGTTTGTTTTACAGCTGGAGGATCTGAGGACCAGGAGAGGATGTGACCTGTCAGTCACATGATGCATTAGCGATACATCCTGCCGCCCAGTCCCCTGCTCTAGCCAGGAGGTTCCCTCACTGGGGCCAGTTACAGACATTTTGCCAGATACTTCCTTAGCTTTCTCCATCAGACAGTGCAGGGGTCTCATGGTTTCATGTTTGTAAGATGTAGCGGCTGCTTTTGGCACTGCTGTGCTGGCCTCATGAGTTTTACCTGCTTGTATTGTCGGTGGAAGAGCCCTCCTGCTTTTCGGGATTGGCGTCTTTTTGAGGTACTGTCATTCTGGGCTCTCCAGAGCAAACGCACACCTGGCAGAATGGAGTTACGTGGAGCTGCAGCTCTGGGTCTGAACTTCCTCCTCTGTGACGACAGGAGGAATGGCCTGGTGGTCAGGAGCTGGCCTGCAACTTGGGAGACCTGGGCTCAGGTCCCTGCTCTGCCACAGACAACGTGTGACCATGGGCAAGTCACTTAGCTGCGCTGTGCCTCAGTTTCCCACCTGGACTGTCCTGCTGTAGAGGGCTGTTGGGAGGGGGGTACATGAGGTGTTCAGACACTGGTGACAGGGCTAGCTGAGTAGCAGAGATAGCTAGAGCTGATACTTGCATATCACTGGGGTGGGGTCCGTCACAGCTCAGGGAAACTGCAGCTGTAGTTCCCCCTCCATGGCCCAGCAAGGGCACCTGCTCTCAGGCGTCTTGGCCATTGCCTGTCTTGGATGGAGGCCCTTCTGAGCGGGGTATTTCCAGGCTGCCTTCGCTGTGTTATTCCCAGCAGAGAGGCTGCCCACACCTGCTGGCTAACGGTGTGACGGCACCACCCAGCACTTCCTATGCAAACCTACTTTAGTCAAGAGGCACTACAAAGAAAACGCATTCTACACACACGCTGACACGCTTACCAGACGTCACCCCATCTCTCACATGGGCTCTGGCAGGGGCAGTCCTTCCACCCCCCACCAAGGAGTTCATCACAGCTTCAGCTCAGAACAGGCCCCCTCTGCCCTTTATACAGTTCAGGGGTCTTTGACCCAGTAAATAGCAGACAATTGGCTTCTCTCCCCAGGGCGCAGCTTCAAAAGGGTGGACTCAGAGTGGTCCACTTGCATCCTTCTCACCCCTCAGGTTTGTCCTAGGAAATCCACTTTACACGCCTTGTCTCAAAGTCCTTAGCAGTTCTCAACATCTCCATTAACCAAGTCCCTAGGAAAGTTACACTCCACCCTACAACAACACACAAAGCATTGCATTTTAAATACAGTGGTCCCCAATGGATTAAACCTAATTCCGTAAGATTTAACTTAAACTGTATTGAATTATCTTAATTCCATAGGGATTTGTCCAGGACAGAGCCGGGGACTGTCTGTCATGGTTTGACCAGATGGCCCTTGCTCCAGTGTCCCTAAGCCCCTTGACCTCAACTGTGCCTGGTGCTCTCTCTGCAGGATGCCCTCCGATATTCAGGCAGCGACGGCATCGGGCAGATCTCCCTGGAGTTCTACCAGAAGAAGAAGTCGCGCTGGCCCTTCTCGGATGAGTGCATTCCCTGGGAGGTGTGGACCATCAAGGTCAACGTGGTGAACCTAGCCAACGAGCAGGAGCGGCAGATCTGCCGGGAGAAGGTGGGGGAGAAACTGTGTGAGAAGATTATCAACATCGTGGAGGTGATGAACAGGCACGAGTACCTGCCCAAAATGCCCACCCAGTCAGAGGTGGACAACGTCTTCGACACGGGCCTGAAGGACGTGCAGCCCTACCTCTACAAGATCTCCTACCAGATCACCGACTCCCTCGGCTCCTCCGTCACCACCACCATGCGGCGGCTCATCAAAGACACGCTGGCTCTGTAGGGCCAGGTGCCTGGGGACAGGGGGCTTGTGCCTTTCTGCTCCCCATCACACAGGATGACCCAGGGTGTCCCGGCAAGTAGAATCGTCTCAGAGCACGGTCCCAGCAGGAGTTTGCTTAGACCCCGCCCTATCCTCTGTACATTTCAGATGGAAGCGTTCTGCAGGCTGGACTTGGGCTGGCCCTTCATTGTGAATCTCCCTATGTGGGGGTCACCTGGGGCTGCGATCTGAAATGTCAGCAAACTGCTCCTTGTGTCACGTGGCCTGTATTGCAGCTGGCCTGTTGGCTCCCCTCCCCGGTCTCCCTTTCCTCCCTCAGATCCCTCCTGAAGCCCCAGTTCCCTCCTGGAACCTCATCCCTGTACTGTCTGATACTGGGGCAGCTGCTGTCTTGTTTCATCGGCGTGGGATTGTGAATTCCTGGACAGGGCCCCTCCTCTCGCCCCGTCTGTTTGGGGAGGGGCTTTGCACAGGCTCTGACAATACAGCGGTAACCTCTGGCTGGCGGTCGAGTCAGGGATTGTATTTCTCTGCCTTTAACACTGTCTTGTTGTAACAGTGGGGAAAGAACTGCCCTCAACAGAGCAGCTGTGACCCCCCAGAGCCGCGGTTAGAACAGCAGTCGGGAGTCTCTGTGGGTGCCCGTGAGGCAAGGCCCTTCTCTGCCTCTCTCTCCGCCTGGGAAAGGGGGAGAATGCTGCCGGTGGTCGAAGAGCACACCAGGGCAAGCAGATAGTCTTTGCTAAGCTTTATAAAGCCCCTTCCTGAAAATACTGGGACGCAGCCGGGCACTTGCACAGCCACTAAAACCCATATTCCCTAGTCCGTCACCTGAAACCAAGTCCACGTCTGACGTGCAGCAGATGTGGTGAGAGTGGCTGCTGTAAGCAGCGAGGGCTGGGCTGGCAGGAGACGTGAGTGCCGCGAAAGAGCGGCGGCTGCTTACTGTTCCTGCAGGCTCCGTCTCCGCACAATGTGCCGTCAGACGGGCCAGTAACTACGTGTATCTGGGTACACAGGAGCTGTTGCTTGTGTGTGTCGTCCATTGACCTCACTGCGCTGCCATCACCGTCAAAAATACCCCCTTCGTTCTTCCTGACTGCTAGGAAGCTCTGTTTAAAGCAGGGGTGAGATCTCCAGACCCTGTCTCATCAACACACTTACGCCCCCGTCCCCACTTCCTCTCTAATGGAGACTGACGCCCGTGTGTTTGTTACAGACACTCTGGGGTTAGAAACTGACCTGTCTGTATTGTGTAGATCTCATACTCTGGGTGTAATAAACACTGGCCTGGGCCTTCTCTTTACTCCGTGTCTCGGGCTGTCGAGAGTGTCTCCCCCCCGCTCAAGTAGCGCCACCTGCACCAGAGTCAGGCTTTGCCGATTGCCCAGGTGTCATCCCAGCAGTAAAGCCCAGGCCTTGGTGCGCGAGCGCTTCTACTCCAGAGGGGGAGATGAGCGTGTGGGTTTCTCTGGGTCTACTAATAAACTATTTTCCCATCAGAGCCCTCTGTGTGCTCACGTGTTCTTACCAAGGGGCTGTGAGAGTCGGATGGGGGCCAGTGAAGTGAGAACAGTTGCCGGGTGAAGGGCAGAAGAACGGGGAAGCTGACGGGGGGGCTGAATTTCAGGAGGGTTCAAGGCCAACCTGTTCTGTGCTCTGCATCCACAGTCCCCTCCAGAACGCTCAGGTCCCCGGGGACATCTACAGCCAGATTCTCCAAAGAGTCCTGGGCCCAAGCCTTGAGAAGTCTGGCCCTTTCCCCGCACCTGTGCTTCCATCCCTTGCCTGGGCCAGATCGTTCCTGACAGCGAAACAGATTTCCCACGTTCCTCCGCTTGGCCAGCCGCAGTTAGCAGGATACGGTGCCTCTTGCGGCCACACCACAGGTTCGGCTCCTGCCTGGGCTGGTCGTCCCCAGGTGGTAGCCAGCCACGGTGGCTCGTCAGCCTGCTGTCAAATCTCAGGTCAGCTCCTGGAGGATGTTTAAATCCCACTCCCGCAGCCCCGGCCGTGCGACTCAAAGGACGCAGAGCCTAGCAGTGGCTGCCGTAGGAGCCCCACCTGGGGCCTGGTTTCAGGCTCGCCGAGCACCCGCCAGGGAAGTCAGCGGGAGCTGCGGATGCTCAGCACCTGTAGGAGAAATTGGACAGAAAAGTGAAGCCTCCCGTATCGGTGGCGGCTGCTGAGAATTTGGGCTTTAAATTCTTCTCTGCTGGCACAGCAGAGACACAGGAGGTGGCTTGGGCCAGTTCTGTGCCTAGGAGCTGTGGTCTCGAGGGGCCAGTGGGACACCTTTCACCAGCACGAACCTTCCACCGGAGTGAATAGCCCCTGAAAAGGACAAGAACATTGTTCCAGCTACATAGCACAAGCCTAGGAGACCCATGGAAGAAAATAGCTTCCAGGTAAGTTCCTAGCACTCGTTCAGAGGAGCAACTCAGCCATGTAACCCTAGAGCCTGACGGGGAGCAGGAGTGCAGGGTGAGACCTGTAGGGAAGGACTGATTCACTGCACAGGGTAAAGGGAGACCCCGAGGCAAGGACGGTAATACAGCAGTACTAGCGGATGGACTTCAGCGAGCAGCGGTGGGCTAGTCAAACACCACATGGCGTCGAGATGCGATTTCTTAGCCCAGTAAACAGGTGCTGCTTTGTGAGGGGTCTAAGTGGCATGCAGGTGGGTCAGGAAGTGGCGGTGTCTGAGCCGTGGAAGTAAGCGCCAGGAGTTCAGCGATGCTGGGGGAGGAAGCGGGCCGAGTCTAGGCACTGTGGCACTTGGGGAATTTCAGCTGAGGATCTGCCCTTTAGCATCAACATGGAGGCTACTTCAGCCAGCGGCAGCAGCGCAAACAGAAAACTGCAGCCGCGCTGGGCCTGGCCGCAGCAGCTGTTGGAAGAGCCCAGCCCTGCTAGCCAATACGCAGGGTAGGAAGTGAAGGGAGCTCGGTCCAGCTGATGCTGCGGCAAGAAGAGGGGATTGGGTCAGGGTAGGAGGATTAACAAACTGACTGATGAAAAATGCTCCGGTGGGGAGTTGTTCTGCGGGTGCGGGGGGTGAGTCCAAGCTACACAACGGTGTCTGCTGACAGCTGCCCCGCAGGGGAACGTCGCATCAAAGCCAAACTTAAATCATGGCTGAAAAGTTTTCTCTTAAAACGTTTCTGCTTGAAGCTCAGTGGTTGGCCAAGGTCCACTCACTCCAGTTCAGCCACATTTCGGCTACCTGTATGCAAAAAGAAACAGGGGTAATCACTTCCTCCCTCCTCTGGCTCCACTCATCTGCCTCCCAAAGGAGCGAAACTTCCCACCTCTGGTCTGGGGGGACGCATGGACCGGAACAGCACAACGGTTGGCATGAAGGTGGCGCGGGGGCGTTGGTTGTTCAGGCCCCCATCCAGGATGGACCTGAGTCGTATTTACCTGGTTTGTTACTGTAGTGCCTGGTTGAGCAGGGGCCCATTGGGGTAGGGGCAGTATAAACAGACTAGGAGCCCGTGTCATGATCTTTAGGAGCAGGAGTAGCTGCTGAGGGTGAAATCTGGGCCTCTGGAGGCTGTTCCCCAAGGGAGAGGGGTTTCCCCAGGGATCTGGGGGTGCAGGGTGTCTGGTTCCCAGGAGGAGCATGGGGGGGCTGTTTCCCTGGGGGGGTTCACCAGGGATG